GAACACAGCTAAATGTATCAAAAGTGTCTATGTAATATTAGAATTTTCTGAGACAATGAATTTTGGTTTTTCATTTTTTTTCAGGAAGAGGTTTTTTGGAGGAATTTTTGGACAAAAAATCACAATATATCACCATGCTTGCAGTACCGCAATATATCGGGATATATCGTATCGTGACCTCTCTGTCATGAGATGTATCGTATCGCCAAATTCTTGTCAATACACAGCCCTATTTGGGTGGGGGTCTTTTTTTGGGTGGGGGGGTGCATTGGACCTGATGGATAGCCCCTCAACAGAGCTAAACAAGCAAAGAAATCTGAAGCTCTTATGTTTAATAGTTTTTGAGCTATAACCATTTTTGTATGTCCAGATACCACTTTTTCAGAGAAATTGGGGGTCCGGGGGGTGGGGGGCACCGATTGGTGGGCCTGATGGATAGAGCTTCATCAGAGCTAAACAACAAAATAAATCTGAAGCTTCTATGTTGAACAGTTTCTGAGTTATAAGCATTTTTAAATGTCCAGACACCCCCACTTTGAAAGGAGCCCCCTCCTCAAATATGGGGTCTATCATAAAACCGTTGTCTGGTGCAGTGTAGGTCAGACTCATCTACAGTCCTGACTAATTTCATGTTGATCGGTGCAGCTGTTTTTGTGCTACGGTTGACCAAAAATCTCAGGAGAAAAAATAAAATAAAAAAATAAACAGTACAAAAACAATATGAGTCCTGCTTACGCTTCGCGTGCGGGGGTCATAATTATTTCTGGTATTTTAAAGTGAGGCACTGTGGAGATAATACAAACAATTATTGTTGTACCACTTGTAGGTAACTTGATGAATAGGTGTTGATTGGATAAATACAGTTTAATTTATAAGCAGACTGGAGAGTTAATGGCACAACTGAGGTCAAGACCACCTGAAGAATGACCTTTGACCCCACCACAGTGAGCGCTGTCAAGGACCTACAGATAAAGCGACTATCATAATGACCTTGAAGAACCACTGACAGCAGTTTGAACCGTTGTTGTTATCTTCCTTCTGTTTACACTCGTACAGTTTCAATAATAAAATGTTGGCATTTTGTCAGATTAGATTATTTTTAAAGAGAAAAGATTATTTTTAAAGGGATCCATGATTAGTTGTAACATTAGACTTTATTTGATAAACATTTATTTTAACTGTAAAATAAAGACTGTAAAAATACTGTAG